TTATCTGAATTTGAATTCTCATGGTCCAGAAACTGTAATCTTATTGCAGGGGTGGATTGAGGCCGTCTTCTGGGTCTTTCAGATGACGGTCAGATTTTAAAGTTTACATTGACTGGTATCAATTTTTTTCTGTTGGAAGACCATCAAAAGTGGAGGATGGATCAACAAAGATACTTTGGATTACTGTCAGAAAATATCTCTGGATCTGCTCCTGTTATTGAGCATGTTATCTGTTGTGCATGATTAAAAATCAGTGTTAACTGACTGTGCTATTATAAGCATTATTTATTATTGAATCAAAATTGACAAAATGACCTATTTTGCATCTTTATTTTCTGTTTTTTGTCTGTACATTTGACAGCTTTGCTGCCTTGTTTTTTTTTACCTCTGCCAAGGAGGTTATGTTTTCACCCCTGTTTGTCTGTCTGTTTGTTTGTTTGTCATCAACATAACTCAAAAAGTTATGGGCCGATTTTGATCATTAACTGTCAGAAGTGGGCCAAGGAAGAGATGATTAGTTTTTGGTGGTGATCAATAATCAATAATAATCAAAAATCGCTGCCTTGGCAGAGGTCTGCGCTCTCGGAGTGCTTTTCTAGTTTAAAGTTATATATCAATCAATGAAGGCAGAGTGCTTTGATATCAACTTATAATAACCCTTTGACAACTTAATTAACTGTAAAAAAATCGAAGAGAATACCATTAATGTTATTCTCAAGAGTTCATTCAGTACAATTCAATGGAAGTACAAATAAGAAATAGAGAGGTTTTGGAGGGCAATACTAATTTAAAAAAAAAACATCCATATACCTGAAACATGTTGCAGGTATGTTTTATAAAATCTTGTGTAGATTTTTGGTAATGAAATTCAAATGCCAAAACACAGAGTAGTAAACATGCCTATAATTCTGTAAAACTCTAAAAGTAATATTTCTTTCTTTATATAATTCTAATGATCAAATATTTACTGTCTAAATGCTCTGTATTACAGACATCAGGCATGAAAAACTAAGGCACACAGCATCGTTAATGGTTAACTCTACCATTTTCATCAATGGTCCAAAATAGGAAAAAATAACAATGCATAAATGTCCTTAAATATCATGCTGGTTATCATGAATAATACTTCTGAATTCCCTTTGATATATATGAACTGAAGAAACTGAAAGAGTGACTTGCTACATCTGTTTGTGCTCTCAAAACAACGTGGACAGCAGTCTGACTACTACATGCCTGTTTGTCATCATCCATCAACAGCACATCAATAGTAAATGGCTTAATCTTTTCGCCTCTGTTCCTTTCATGTTCTATAACATCCTGGGTGACCTTGATCTCTAGGTCAAGGTCATCTTTATGACCAGCATGTAAAAGATTTTTGCGTACTGCTTTGCGACGCAGCCACACAGCATGCTGTATGGAGCATTGTAAATGCATGAACAAGTTGTTTGGTTTTTTAGGAGAACTTGTTATTCTACTATCAGAAGATTGCTTTCTTATAGCACTATGCTGAGGAAAAAGGTCTCTTTCCTCTGGCTTTAGACTAGTCTTTAACTGACTCTTCACTAGCTCTGAATCAAATTTCTTTGGGTTTAAGTTCTTTAAACAGTCCTCTGCTGAGACTTTGTTGCCATCAATGGAATTATTTTCAGTCACCTTAATACTTTCAGACTGAAATACTTCCCTTTCCAGCTGAGAATAATCATCGAAATTGTTTTCCGCACATGCCTCATTCTGTAAAACTTCACAATCTGTGTTCAGATTTGCATCACTTTTTGTTTTCTTTAAAATCTGATGATCAGAGAGGTATTCAGAACCACTGTTTTGTCTCTTTGGTGTTCCACTCCCACTACCCAAAGCAGCCCCAATGGCATGACCCTCAGTTGGAAAAAGGGACAACGGTTCATTAACTAAATTTTCAACGGCAGTCTTCTCAATTTTGCCAGACTGAACTTTATCATCTGCATCTTTTTGTTTCTTCACAACATCATTCAAATGAAACTCCTCCATTTCAGTCAATTCATCAAAGTCATCCACAATTTTATTGGGTTTACTGTCCACTGCACTGAAAGAAAGTTCCGTCCTTTCAGTGACATCAGGTGTTTTTTTCTGCCATCTACTTCTGCCATCTACTTCATCGTCTTCTTCACCAGGTGGCAGTACAGAATTTTGCTCGCTGCCTTTTTGTGAAATATTGTCTTTGAATAACAGAGTTGGGATGAGTAAACATTCTGCAAGGAGTTTATAAATAAACTGACAAATCTCCTGCTGCCATGCATGTTTGAAATCAGGGGTTTCATTGAGTCGAAGTAAACATTTTTGGGAAAGGTGTGCAGGACAGAGAACAATTTCGAAGGAAGTTTCCAGGCAACTTTTCATATGTTTACTTGTCCCATGCTTTGAAGGATGTTTGTTTTCAGCCAGTTTTAATTTTGAGATAAGATGATCACTCTGATTGGGTGGAACAGAAGTGAACTGTGCTGGTATCTCATTAGATAAAAACATAACTAATCCCTGAAGTGAAAACTCATGGTCTGGGTTGTCCCTTAGAAAATCAGCCATCTTGGCTGCTGTCTGGAATTCTGAAATGATTCTTTCTTTCATCTTCTCGTTGATGTTAAATGCTGGGTTATGATTCAAGACAAAAGGATCCTGAATAGCAACTGTTTCCACCTAGGAGAGAAAGAAATAAATGTTTGTTATGCCTTCAAGTCTTTTCAAATGTCAACGTTGCTGTGATATTGATACTTGAAGTGTACATTTTAAGTCAACTTATTATCATCAATTTTTGATGCTAAATATTTTAAAGGGATAAAAACACAGGTCAAGACAGCATATAGCAAAGTTTACCTTATAACCTTCCATCTTAGCTGGCATTGTATCTGGGTTGAGGACAGTCATCAAATTCATGGTCTTGCCCGTTCTGGGGCAGATGATGCTTGTACTGAAGTCAAACTTGGCATAGAACTGATAGAAACCAAGCAAGAGCTCACCTGAAGAAAGGAAAGATATAATAAAGTAATAAATATTAAATAGAGGTTAATATTCATCTGCTGCCTTAATATATTTGACTTATCAAATATTGCAGTTAGGATATTTTTCATATGTACTGAACAAGGGTATTTCAATTTATGGGAGAATGTGTGTGTGCATGTGCGTGTGTGTGCGTGTGCATGAGTGCACAAAAAAAAAAAAAAAAAAACTTACCAACTGTCATAGTGTTAGCAGTACAAGGTATGCGTGACTTATCTTCTACAAATGAGCAGTCCCAGTCCTCAATGACAACTTTCTCTTCTGGACCTGAAAAGGGCAATAATCATTTCAATCACTGTGGTCACATGATCACAATGACATGACTTAAATTTTCAATATCTCATTATTTTTCAGTTAAAAATTTCCATCTCACCAGAAACAGATAATCAGTTTCTACACACTTCTTTCGACATGTATAAAAGTAGTTACTGTTGTAGCAATATTTTATTCAACAGCAACAAATCAAAAACTACATTAAAATAATCAATCACATGAAACCCACCACAATAATCGGCCAACTGCTGAATACTGGGAAGGATAGGCTTCTCTAAGTTCTGGAGGTAGAAAACTACCAGCAAACACAGTGCATAATTGTTCAGCTTGGTTCCTGATTGGATGTTGCCTGCAATGTCTCTGCACTTGGCCCAGTAACGTATAGCGTAAACCAGAGGAGATAACCTCACATCCAGCTCGGTGCAGAGTCTGAGGAACTTGGTGTTTCTGAGAGCTAATCTGAAAGAGGAACATATTGGCCAGTTTCCTTTATTTTTATTGACAAATTAAGAGAGATAACAATGCACATAAATAAATTTAAAAGGTTAGGAAAGTAACCAAAGTTCTTGTAAAAGAAAAATGTGCCCTTTTTTAGGACATTATCTGCAATCAATACTAAAAATTGCTTTTCTGACAGTTTATTTTTTATTGACAAATAAAAAGAGGTAACAATTTTGTCTTATTTATATGCATAAAATTTTTTCCAGTTGAAAAACATCAGAGCTGTTGTGAGCCAACTCAGCAGAAAAAAGTGTCCTTTTTTATCTTCAATCAATACCGATAATTGCCTTTCAATCTTTTAATATACTTGTTCACTGTATATATACTTGAGTGGTACCAATACATATTTGTTATTACTGTCACTGAGAGTGAGACAAACAGTAATTATTGTAGTACACTTACCTATTACTGACAGATACATCACATTTAATCCCCGAGGACCTGAAGGTAAACCTACACACTGGACACCTCTGACTGGGAACAAATACTACATTCTGGCATTCTGGGATGTGTCTCTGGATTGTTCTTCTGATTGCCTTGACCTGGTCAAAGGTTGTCATTTCTCTCAATTCCTCACGTGTATAAACTTTGATTTGGCGCCTGTCTCTGGTGTCTAAATTACTAGAGTTCTGAAGCGTAAAGTAATGAGTGTCATTTTCATTTTATTTGATGTAAAGAAAACATGTTCATCCATAAAGGATCAATTTCTTTGCAACCTGAATATTAGCTGACCTTTTTAATTCCAATCTATTACACGTTAGTTCTCACTTCTGACTAAAACATTTTTCAACAGATATTACATGTGGATTAAACATAATCATTCAAATTAAACTCTCACTTCCGACTCGGATAAAAATCTTTCACTTTTAAGGTCATCTTCATCTATGTGAAGGTCAAGAAAGATGTCCATGTCGCACCCCTTGACACCAAACTTGTTCACAGAGGATCCAAACTGGTGTATGGTACAGCCTATCAAAAATAAATAAACAATCAAATACATTTTAAAACAAGAGATAACTGAACTGAAATGAGTTTATTTCCATTGTCAACGCTTTTTTTACATAAAACAAAGTAACCCATTTACTTTCATTTTTATATGATCAACTAAGAAAATTGTTGAGATGGAAAAATAACAATAGAACAATTTTACATTGTCCAATTTGTTCCATTATGAGATTCTGAACATAGTGAATGTCTAAATTTGACAAACTGCAATGACATGAGCTTATTTCCACTTTTGACACTTTATAACACAATACACGATAACAGATTCACCATCATTATAATATAATCAACTTACAATATTGTTAAAATGCAGAAAAGGTCAAAAGAACTTTTATGTATCTAATTAGTTCAATAATGACACTGTAAACATGCCTAAGAATTGAATCTGAGGAAAAAACACTAATATACAAAAAAGGCATAACTTCATCAAAACTAAACCGATCAAGCTTATTTTCAAACTTGATCTGTATATTAGTCCTATGCCCTACAAGTTTTAAAGTAAAATATTACACGGTTTTCATGTTATCTGTATAATGGTGGATAAAATATGCTGAAAAGTGAAAAAACAGCATAACTTTTGTAAAAATGGCCCAATCAAGCTGATCTTTGTACTCAACCCGTTTTTAAGTAAGACTGATCATTCCTGTGAGTTTCAAGACAATAGGCCAATCATTTTTTAATGTGTCATCAAAGCTGCATATATTTTGAAAAAAGCAAGAAAAAACAGCATAACTTTTTTAACAAGGCAGCAAAGCTGTCAAATGTACAGACAAAAAACAGGCAATAACTATGCAGAAAATAGGCTACTGTCAATTCTGATGCAAAAGTACATTATGTTAAACTGCAAATTCAACATCAAATTTTAATTATGCTCAACAGGTAATACCAATGTAAGTAAAATGTGTAACAAGTTCACACTTTGAAAATGTATAACCTCCAGAAAAAGAAGCCAATTAGACTGCTTTTCAAACTCAGGCTGCATTTTAGTCCTGTATTTCTTTTAAGAAAGTTAGGCAATCATAAGTAACATGGTTTTCCCATAATGGTCCTCATGGCAGCAGCACGTTTTTTTCAAATTTTGATGCAATATTACATAATGTTTAACAGCATAATGACCATCAATTTTAATAATAAATAAGAAAATGTGACTAGCAAAGGTCTTCAGGCCCATGGAACTTCAAAGTCACAATAACAAAAAAAGCATAACTACTAAAATAGTTGCCCCGCTCATGCTGATTTTCGAACTTGACCTGCTTTTTATGAATATTCATCAGCTTTGTAAATATATAGCCCAAAAGTAAAACTGCCTTCCACTTATCGTGTTTACAATGAAAGTGCACAGCGTCGGCGACAGGGACAGTGACGGCGACGACAGACGCAGGTGATGGCAATATGTACAGACACATCTGTACATATTTACTGTATTGTTTGAGAACAGTAAGTGACATGGTTTTTCTTAAATGGTCATTACGGGAGCAGTGCCCAAAATAGGTTTTTTTCAAATTTTGATGCAATATTACATAATGTTTAACAGCATAATGACCATCAATTTTTAATAATAAAATATTAGTATCATGGATATTCAGAAAATGTGACTAGCAAAGGTCTTCAGGCCCATGGAACTTCAAAGTCACAACTTGAAAATGCCAAAATGTAAACAAGACAGCACTGTTCTGAAAAGGTTTTTTTTTTTCATTTTTAACAATTTTTTAAACATAAAACAAAATTAACAGGTTACTGCCATTTTTATACGATCAACTAAGAAAATTGATGAGATGGGAAAAATATCAATACAACAGTGTTAAATGTCCAATTTCCTCCATTCTGAGATTCTGAACATAGTGAATGATTGAATCTGACAAACTGCAATGATATGAGTTTATTTCCATTTTTGAAACTTTATTACACAATACACGATAACAAGTTTACCATCATTTTTACAAAATCAACTAACAATGTTGTAAAGATGCAGGAAATGTCAAACAAACACTTTTACGTATCTTATTAGTTTAATAATGAGACTGTTAACATGCCTAAGAATTGAATCTGAGGAAATGTGAAAAATATGCTGAAAAGTGAAAAAACAGCATAACTTCTACAATAGTGGCCCGATCATGCTGATTTTCGAACTTGACCTGCGTTTTAGTAAGATTGATTACTCCTGTGAGTTTCATGACAACAGGCCTAACGGTTTTCCTTAAAATGTGTTTACAAGGTTGCATATATGCTGAAAAGTGAAAAAACAGCATAACTTCTACAATAATGGCCCGATCATGCTGATTTTCGAACTTGACCTGCGTTTTATGAATATTCATCAGCTCTGTAAATATAAAGCCAAAAAGTAAAACTGCCTTCCACTTATCGTGTTTACAAGGAAAGTGCACGGCGACGGCATCGGCATCGGCATCACCATCGGCGACGGCGACGACAGACGCAGGTGATGGCAATATGTACAGACACATCTGTGTCTGTACATAAAAAGCTTTACATACTAGTAAGTGTTTAAATAAGGTGTCACTTGTAAAAGTTGAAAAAGTGAAACCAAAAACATCCCCTTACAGATTGTATTTTCCTCAATTCCTCTAGCACTGTTTTTCTGTCAACCACAGGAACTTCAGAATCTTTGTTTTGAGTTTTCTTTGTTGTGTCATGTCTATTTCCCAATCGTGCTGGCTTGAAATTGTCCATTTTGACTTCCCTGGGCTTGACCACCAACTTGTGGTCACCGGGTAACCTGTGGTCAGACTGACCAAGCACCTGCTGGGCTGCATCCTTACTGTCAAATTCGATGATGGCATACAAAGACTGAAAATCAATATGGTTGTTTGACTTTAAGTGTTACCAATATAACTATAAGTGCCTCTTGTTTCACTGCTTGGGCAGTGTTGAATAGCAGTGCCTTTTTATTTTTATTAAAAGCATGTGACGTCATACAGAGACTGTTATAATATCAATTTTGGTGAAAAATTCAGACACTTTTCAAAAGCTGAATTTGATCACTGATTTTAAGCTGACAATATTTAATCATTATATATTAAACAAAATTACTTTAAAAACTACACATATTTTAATATTTAATACACAGACATAACAAAAATCATTTTGGGTTATAATACCATTAATGACATGAAAAATTTTTTATCTCAGAGGGATCATCTACTGTACATTTAGAGTAAGACGCTACCTTAACTTTGTCCATCACAACTTTCTTTATATTTCCAAATTTCTGGAAGTGTTCCTTCAATTGAGCTGCGCTGAGTTTAGTGTTCCCATGGACACCCCTCACAAATACACTGCAACTGGCCTTCTCTGCCGCCTTGTTCTTCATCTGTAAGAGACGCTGGTGACGCTTGCCCTGGATGTGCCTAGCCATACTTCCATCTGAGACAAAAAACATTTCTCATGTAGCATTTTATCCACATCACATATAAATTGAAATCACCAAACTGAATATATGTGCTTTACTGTTTCACTCTTGCCAAAATTATTTTAAAAGACTAAATTGATTTTAACCGTCTTTTTTAACTCATTTTTAACAATGTTATGGTAAAACAATGTGGTAGAATAAAGCCATTAGATTCATGAACTGATCAAGGTGGCATTTACTCATACTATATATATATCTTTTGTCTAAAACTGCTTTCTGTATTCACTCATATACAGAACATGTCAGTTGCCAAGCATCTACTACACAAGTCCTATGCACCATGAAAGGTATAAACTGAGGGATGTTATTGCCCCCTTCATGGCTTCAGTACTGTACATGGGTCTCCAGCCAACGGTTTCAAGGGGGGTCTTTTCTGAAGAAGTGGACCTTACAGTTTACAACCCTTATTTGATCTAAACTGAGAAATTGAGCAGGACCTTAGTCCTAGATCAAATTTTAATCAGAGAGGTCGTTTTAAAAGCAATAGGAGTCTGGACGGTACCTTCTAACCTCTAAAAAACCCCTCCACCCCACTCTCCGCCCTGCTACGAGCCTGGTACATCCTCCGAACCCTACCAGCACGAAGTAAAATTCGTTTTTGATAGATAAAACAACTGATTTTTGACGGATACTACAAACTGAACAGAAATGTTGCTACCTCAATGTTTTAGCACTTAAGATAAGTTCTTAAAATGGCAAAAAATACTAACCAGACTGATCTCTTCCAACACACACGACAGCATCGCAAACATCGCAATGAACCTCCATCATAGCAGCAAACGCTCCCCGTTCATTCTCAAATGGGTCTTCCTATACGAAACTAGCTGGATGCAGAAGACATACTATGTCAGGTTTCAATATGGCCGCCCAATGTCATTATAGGCCAGATATTTGCTGTCAATTCAGGACGGAGGGTTGATTTTAAAAAAAAAGGCCTCATTGAACATAATAAAAAGTATGCACCAGGTGCTGTAACCCATGAGTACAGTTTGGTTGAATGATTTTGAATAGCTGGCTTTGAATGTATTCAATTCAGAAACACAAGGTAAAATATATTAGGTCATTTCCTAAAAGGGGGCGTCTCGATAGTCCGAAGGTTCATTGGTCCGAAGGTTCATTGGTCCGAAAAGTGGTAACATTTTCATCGATTTTTTAATCAAGGGTTCATTGGTCCGAAGGTTCTATAGTGAATATTCGGACCAATGAACCTTCGGACTATTGAACCTTCGGACTATTGCTACGGCCCCTCCTAAAACCTATCTGCAGCCTGAAGATGTATTACATTTTACAGTTATCTTGTGTATAGATGAAATTGATTCATCTCTGTATTTTACATTTTATCAGAAATGTAAATTAAATCTTGTGGAGCCAGTTATCTAATGTATGTGTACAGCCAGCAAGTAATATTATTTTATCATTCTCTCTCCAAGCCGTTGGGTTTTCCCCTACATGCTATGTTCGCCACAGTAGCATTCTTATTAATCATAATTGTGTCTTTTTAGAAAGAATAAAAAAAACAGCAATATCTATGAAAAAATTTATTACAAATAAAGTGTACATCAACTTAATGCTACAAAAACATATCCAAATAAATTTATTTAAATAAGTTACTGTATATAATTACTTTTCTTATTTTGTATCTATTCAAGATTCAACATGGAATTGCTGCAAATATAAAGCAAAGCAATCATTTGCAACAAAGTCTGTGTGTGCAAGGGATTGACTGGTATTTCTGAAACCTCAATACTAAGAATTCAAGACATGATGATTCCCTTATTTTGAAATACTTTTAGATATCTGATGTCTACACACAGATGGAAAAAGTCTATTACTGAATATAAATCACAAAAATTTATAAAGAAAAAAGGCATAAAGTAGAAACCCTGGACGGATAAGGAAAAAGAAAAACCTTCACAATAAATACTTGGAAACCCTGAATGTAAAACAAAGTTATCCATTTAAATTTATTTAATTCTTGTTTGTTATTGTAATCTTCTACTCTTGGGACATAAGATTTGCATTATTACATCATTACTGGAAACTACATTATAAAACAATAAATAATGTTTCAGCATACACTGGATCCATAGAAAAAGAAATTCTGGACATATGCAACATTTGTATTGTATCACAACATAGTGTATAATTCACACTTACACACTTCAACTCAAAATGAAGTAACTTTTCTAGTATTCTTTGCTAACTTTATGTCTGTTCAAATGTCAAGATTGTCAAATATTTACCTTTTGTTATCAAATATATTGTTAGCCAGCTAACAACTTAAGTACATAATTATTATACAAAAATCATAAATTTGCATTTTTAATAAAGATATTTCTGAGACAGCTCTAGACATCATCTCATAGTGCTTACTATAAATATTATCAACTGGACTGAAATATTGACCACACTTTCATTTGGTGATAAATCCTAATATAAAATTTTGTTTAAAAAAAAAAACAGAGAAAAGAAGATTTCAAGAATAAAAAAGATATCCATTTCCTATTGCACAGATCCAGTAAATATAGTAAGTAGAAAGCAAAAAGTAAAAGTTGCAATTAAATCAGAGCTTGCATTTCTAGTGTGCAAGCTATAATAGACATAATCAGCCTGGTATAAGGGCATTTGCTCTGTGGATAGATTTATACACTTACAATGAAAAAATAAGAACACATATAATATTAAATAAAAACTAGTAAAATAGTTACTTCAGTAATATATCTATACCTTCACAGGATGACATATAAAAGAAACAGTATATCTTAATAATATATATATTTTTAGCATCTACATGTATTACATGTGCACACAGCTCCCTTCACCCACATGGAATAATTACAACAACAAAAACTTTTCTATCATTTATAAAAAACATATTTTAAAATATTTTTTTACATATTATATCTCATAATTTCTTCCAAGTAAAAGCAATACATGTATTTTACCTTCTCCGCTGAGAAAAAAATTCATAATTCAGCATGCACAAAAGCATTTACTTTGTGTAAAGTATCTAATCCAGTCATTTTTCTTTCACTCCTTTTAAAAAGTAATGTTATATTATTCAGCTTGTCTTGGTTTTATTTTCTTGCAGCACCCTCTTCGTTCACAAGGGCCAAGATAAGCTGACGGTAGTCTCCTGAGATGTCATCCTACAATAAAAAATAAAAAAGTTTTCTATTTTTCTACAAACCAATGGTATTTTTTTTTTATCAAACTAAAAGCTTTCATGAGAAAGATAGAGAGATAGATAGATAAAGATATAGATAATAAAAAAATCATTAAATGATAAAGTATCATCGTGTACCATACATAATGATTCAAATTAACAAAAACTGGCCATAAAAGAAAATTATTAAATATTTTTTCTACTCACAGCAATCCATTTCCCAAGTGTCTGGTTGTACATAGCCATGAAAGCTTCCTTAATCTGGACCATGTCCACCTCACAGCGAGTGACCACTATGCGGACCAAGGCATCATCATCTGTGCCCAGACCTTTCATTGCTTTGTGGAGCTTCAGTGCAAACATGGCTGGCTTGTTCTTGATGCTTTTGACTGTGGAGAAATAAGAAATATTATCGTAATTTTTATTAAAATAAAGTGATTCATAAATGAGACTTTTTTAAAACAAAAAATAAGGTTATTACTTGGAGGACATATCAAAGGACATCAGTCCCCCTTCTTTATATTGAATAAAAAAAGACAACATAAATCAATCTCAAATTTTCATCACACTTTAATGTATATTGAACATTAGACCCTGATATAACAAAAAAAGAAAAAAAACACTAGAAATTTCAACATTTTTCTTTAATTGCTCCACAAGTATGACCTAGTAAAAACTTGAGAAAATCACAATCTATATTACCATCTTCAAGTTCAAATTTATTGTTTGTCATTGTTGACAACCTCATAATGGAGATGAAACTGGTGAATTATTGAGCTAAAGCTACAATCAGAAACTGAGAACTCAAGAACCAGTCAAATAGATTGCAATTTTCTCAACATTCTGGATAAGGCATATATCATACCTTGATGTTTAAAGAAAATTGTTGAAATTTTAAAAAAATCTTTGCAAGGGTCTAACACACTGTACCTGTATACCTTTAACTTAAAGG